TTGAATCCCAAAATGATATGACGATTACTCCCGTCCGGCTGTCATTTAGGATCACCACCCACCCGCCTGGAGAAGAAGTGCAAGACACTTTATTCTCCGTGAACTTCTCTCCACCCAGGTGTATTAATGGGGAAAACGACGAATAGAATGCTGGGGATCGATGCAATGGACTAGAACCCCCTCCTCTGGGAGTAGAAATATTCCTAGTCACTTCGTGCTACAGAAACTGAGATAAGCTCCGTCCTGATCGGCAACTTTGCTCGTATGCAGACTTCACGTATTACCTTTTATTTCTCTCCCGAGAGAAATTCGACACTGTGGAAAGCAAACTAGCCTGTGTCAAGGGAAGAGGAAAGGTCAGGGAGTTAATCCCCCATATTGAACTTATCCCTTGCTGTAAATTATTTTTAGATATAGCATCCCGGCTCCCCGTTCGCATGTGTTCTTGGTCCTTGGTTTTAGCAAATTGCGCGAGTGATGAGCTTAAATTATGCCCAAAGTGCACTGTCAATGGTCATTGTTTTGTTAATTTTTCTATAGCGAACAGTGAAATGATTTTATTGGTCTAAATGTAAGGCGGTTGAAAAATTACTTTCTGTTTTAAGATTCCGATAAAGGAAAACCCAGAGCGAGAAACCAATTAGGAGTGATCCGTCATATGTTGTAAGGTATATGATTCCTGGATAGCAAATTTAATTTCTGCTCCGCCGATCGACTATCTGATAAACAAGGCTAACAAAAATGTAGTAAGAGTAGGAATACTGATTGTATTCAGTGAAGAATAAGAAAAAATTTGTTCTCTTTATGAAGGAAACACACGCGCGGTAAGCCGTGATTCTTGTCTCAACCGGGAGTCTGGGAACCATGTGCTTAGCTGCTGGAAATCGAAAATTTTTACCGAACGTACAGAACACAAGCAATGGGGAATACTTAACCAAAAAGACGCTTTGGTTTACTGAACGAGCACCCTACAGGCTGCTAGATTATGAACCAAGAAAGACGAGATGACATGAACAGATCTAATGTTACTTAGAGACTTAAAGTAGTCCTAAGTAATGAAGTATATGTTTCTTTTTAACTTGGAAAATGTTTTTATTTTAATTTGCAAGTTGTAGTGGTGGGACGATTTCACACCCGTGATCATTCCTTCACTCCTTCACTCCTTTACTTCCTGTTAGACATTTGAAACCCCGGAAGGTGGGAACTCCCATATGAGAAGGTCAGGGGTGCTCGTCGGAAGATTTGAATTTAACTCCTAAAGAAGATTAATGTGGGGGTTACTCGAGCTTCATTTGAC